TATCCCCACCAGAGGCCCTTACCTATTGCTCAGCCCCCAGCCTCCGCTAGGCAACTCATAGGGATGAGTTGAAGCTGTGTTTATATGAGTAAAACAAAAACCTTCTGCTTTTAGGATTGTCAAACACAATAATCCATGTTGACATACAGTGTTAGCTCATCATCCCTGAACTAGGAGTCATAATGAAGCGGGGAAGGAGTCAGATAAAAGGGGAAGGGGGGTGGGGTCCTACGACACCAGTAGCGTCACCTTCTTTGCCTTTCTTGACCACATCACAGGCCTGGGAAGATTAAATGAAATAAGAAGTGTATGGCTCTCAACACAATACCCAGCAAGCAGATATTTGCAATTATTTTTGTTAATGGTGGTGGTGATGTTTCTAGAAGAGTGATTGGCACACTGCAGGGGTTATCATTGTTACTATATTTATCTGTTTTCCAGATATACATACATTATCTAGTCTGTTCTCTTAAGGGGTCTATGGGTTTATCCAAAGGTGGTGTTTGTGTCAAGAAAAAACTCAACTGGGGAGTTACAGGTACACACACAGGCTGGTACCTACCTGGGGCTGATAGTCCTTCTTGGGCCTTAGCCTCCCAGGGCCCTGCTCTTTTTTGGGCCCCTCGGCCTCAGTCACCTCTTGCCATTCTCATTCACCAATCTGCCCAAAGAAATGACACTGACACCCAGTCTAAGGATAGGAGTTTTCTATCCCCATTTCAAAGTCCACCTGCACGGTGGTTTCAGCCATTGCCCTGAAATGAAAGAGAAGGAGGAATCGGTTGTAATGTTTATTCATTTAGCCAACAAGCATTTTACAGGCCCTGGAATAGGCAGTGGGGATACAGCAAAGCAAGGCACAGTCCCTGCCCTCCAGGCGCTTGCAGGCCAGCGGGGACAGCAAGTAAGGGTGAACTCAAGGTCTCTGGGTTGGGCATTGTGTTAATGTTCGTGCCACCCCCTACTGAGACTGGGAGCAGCAGGACATGCTAGTGTGAGGTAGCTGCATAGCCACGAGTGTGCGTGTTCAGGAGAGAGCTGGGTGTGTGCGCCAGGGGCTCAGCAGGGAGAGCCGGGTGAGAGCTGGGAATCCAGCAATGAGAGGTCTGGGCACTGCTTGCCCAGGACACGAACCGAGAACAAGCCTGGAGAATTCCGATGTATGAGGCCTGGCCCGACATCTCTCCTGGGTCCTTCCATTTAAAGACATGGTAACGTGTTGAGATATTATTAGGTAAATATCTCTAGAAAAAGAACAATAAGTTCAACCTATGAGAAAGATATATTTAAATGACCTGATTCCGTCCCTCTTCATAGGAATAGGTTGAGGGAAGACTATTTGTGATAATGCTCCAGGGCTTGGGTTACTGGCGGACTGCATGGCTGTCGGCGCCATTAACCCATCAGAAAACAGGGTACAGAAGGTGGACCTGCACATATGTAAAAATGACTTATATCAGCATTGCTTACAAGAGCACAAGTTTGGGGACAGCTCAGATATCTCTCAATATGGTTCATCTATAAATGGATTATAATGCAACCACTGAGTGAGGAAGTTCTTTAAGCACTGACTTGTAACACACACACACGCAGCCAGACATGTACTGTCACACATGCAGTGAACAAAATGTGATGATGTTCTGGTATGCTACCAGTTGTATACAAAGGAGAGGGGGAAGCATGTATTTGAATTTTATGTACATGTTTACTTGTATATGTATAAAATATCTCTGGAAGGATACTCACACACACTCAACAGAACAACCTTCATTGCCCTTGAGGAAGGGAACTAGGGGGCTGGGGGATGAGGTGGGAGGAGATTTTTCATCATCCCCTTTTGTGTCTTTCCAATATTGAACTACGTAGAAAAGTAACCTATTCAAAAATAAACAATTATTTTAAAAGAGAGAGAAAGGGGGGAAAAAATCACTGAGGAGCTATAGGAAAATGCTTTTAAGGGAAGAATTCACGTGGGATAGTTTAATGAAAATGTCTTTCCCAGTGTCTAAGTGCTCAGAACTTGAACTGCATGAAATAAGGGTTTGACTATCCTGCTAAGATAGTGCATGTTGTTAAGTCTCTGCTGAGAAGACAGACCTTCGTGGAGGAAAGAAAGGGAGGGGGTTCATAGCAAGGCAGCAGCCAAAGAAGAATAGGAAGGAAAAGGTTCAGTGAGCCACAATGTAAAGGAAAAACCCAGTCTTCCCCTCCTGTTGTTGGGGAAAACCTCAGTTCAGTCTCTCCTGTGTGCGTCTTTTAGTACTCATACAAAACACTCACACTTCTGACACCAGATGTTTGGAGGTTTTTTTCCCACACTAAGCAATTCTTTGCAATACCAGCTGGGTGTCCTGTCATTTAACTCAGTTCTAGCACTATCTACCCAGAGGTAGCATCAGATCCCTCAGGTTAAGGGCTCAGTCCTGTAACACTGCCTCCCCTCCCCTCTGAGACACACACTCACACACTTCAGACACCAGTCACAAGCTCAGGTTGCCACCTGCGGTTCCAATGATACCCTCCTTGGGTTTGAATAATTTGTTAGAACAGCTCCCAGAACCCAGGGAAACACCAACTTAGGTTTACTGTTTTATTAAAAGGTGTGGTAAAGGATACAGATGAACAACCAGATGAAGAGATACACAGGGTAAGGTCTGGGGGGGTCCTGAGCACAGAAGCTTCTGTCCCTGTGCAATTGGGGTGCAGAGGATGTGTTTGCCAAACCAGAAGGTCTTCCAACCCCATCTATTGGGGTTTAATGGAGGCTTCCTCATATAGACATGATCAATTATTAGCTCCATTTGTTAGCCCTTTCCCACTCTGGTCGAGGGGGTGGGGTTGGAAGCCTCTAATGTTGGCTTGGCCTTTCTGGGGACCGGCTCCATCCAGCAGCCCACCCGGAGTCACCTCCCTGGAACAAAAGATGCTCCTAGAGCTCTTGTCATTTAGGAAATCAAAGGTTCTGGAAGCTCTGTGTCAGACCGGGAGACAGAGGTCAACATATACTTTCCTAGTATCTTATACCCAACATTAGTATAAAAGAGCTTTCTAGTTACTTCAACCAGGTCATCAGGTGCTCTAAACCAAGACGCAGGACTGCCGGATTTGTATCCTTTTACATATGTTCCCCGTGTTTTCCTTCCAATCTCCTTTTTTCTCTTGTAATGATGGACATTAAAGTCTTAAAATGAAGAGAATCTGTGAACTTATTTTCAGACACAGAAAGGAAGGGCCGCCATCCTCCCAGAGCCAGTCTTGGAAGGGAAGAGAAACCCCAATAGTCTGGGTAGGTGGTGACAGTTACCAGGGGTGGGGCTGGAGGGGCTGGCGGGGAGTCCCTGGGACCTGCCACAGCAAAAAAGGAAATTTTGAGAGGAGCCTGCCTGGGCCTGTGGACTTCCCCGGGGATGCAGGATGAAGGGGCTCCTCAAATGCAGTGATAAATCAGCTTTGCACAGTAATAGGATTAAATCTGAGACTGTTACAGATGAAGTGTGACTAGTCCAATCTTGTATCACAGAGAGCTGGGCTTTTCTTCCTTCAACAGGTATTATTTTCATTGTAACTAAAATTGTACAAAGGAACACTGCTATTTGTTTGCATTGCTTTGCTGATCTTGACCACACTGAAAACGCCAAATGAGGGAAGATTATTTAGTCCCATTTCTTCCCCCTTTTCCTCTTCTACTCTAACAACTTGCTACATTGAACCCATTTGCCTACTCTTTCCCAGAAAAGTCATCAACAAACTTGGATCTATTCTAAGCAGGCAGGGTCATAGAGCTTCAGTGAGATAGAAGATTCCAGCTTGGCTCAGGGTGCTTGCAGACTCACTGGAAGACAAATACTGACATTCAGAAACAAATACTCATGCCTGCAAGCATACATTCAGTGCTAAGCCAGAGGTCTCGATGATGGTTGGAGTCCAGCTGAGGCAGACATCCCTGAAGGTCAGGACACACAAACTTCTTGGAGAAGGTGGGCCTCGAAGGACAGGTTAGATTTAGAAAAGGAGTGAAGAGAGCACGTGAGGCAGGTGTAGGGTGTGAGGGAAGAGTAGGTGGCAGGGGGCATCTTTGTGGAAAGATGAGGGACTCGGTTCACTGGAGAAGAGGGCGGGACAGCAGTCACTCGCTGAAGCAACTTCTGATTCCATGAAAGTCTAAAGGAGGATTTCCCCAGATTAACAGAAACCCTGTGTGTTGCAAACAGATCCATCAGAGCATTAGCGGGATTTAACAGAATGACCTGACTGCTAGGACGTGCCGGCTAAGAGTGGAGTTACCCGCGGGGGGTTGTGTTCAGGGAGGGCTCCTGTCTCTGGGTATCTGCCCGGTCTCCTGTGCCTCTCTGCACACCTCCGGGGTCCAGGTCAGCGGGAACTTCACAAGAGCGCCTTGCTCCTGCTCCCAGCAAGCTCAGCTTGTATTCTTTCTTTCTCTCGCTCTCTCCATTCTTTCCTCTCCCCTTTCCTGCTCATGGCCAGATGTCGAGGAGAGATCCTCTTTCACTGTGAGTTCTGGTTGGAATGTCAGCCTGCCATTTGCCTGTGTAGTGAGAATGTGTGCATGCACAGATTAGCAGGGAGCATAAAATATGGGAACTCTCCCAGTGCTCACCTGGCCTAAGGACAACAAGTCTCCAGACCCAGGTCTAACACCTTTGCTCTGGGAACTTGGGCTGGCACCTAGACTACCTCTTCTTTGGTTTCATTTATTTCTAAGATGTTAATTCCTGCCAACCTACCTTGCAGAATTTTCTTGAGGTACAAATGAAATTATGGTTGTGAAAGCGCTTGGGAGACTAAAGAGCTTACTATTAGTAGTTCAAGGCGAGGGTTGCATGGGGGTAAGGGATGGGGAAATTGGGAAGTCTTGCAAAAATCCCATCCAGCCCTATGATTTTATCAAATTGCTTTATATCATTAAAATAAGTTTAGTTACTTAGTTTCCTCTGATGTTTTAATGACTCTCAGTCTAATGAGATCGTTTTCCTCCCCAGATATCCCTAAGTGCAGCGCCCGGCTCCCAGCCCCGAGCTCCAGCTCCTCCCGCCTGGCCGCCCTCTCAGGTAGCGGGGCTCCCAGCCACCGAAGCAGCGATGAAAATCCTCACGCATCACCTGCAGAGACACTCTGAGTTTCAGTCATTCCCCATCCAGGCTCCAGAGCCAAAGCTAGTTTAAATACTGAAGGGATTTTTATAGAAATGGTGAGAAGCTCTCTGGCCATTGGAGAGTGGATGGTATTGGCTTCTCTATGAGAAACTTACAGCTTAGGTACCTAATCGTGAAAGCGAGTCCTCCAGTGGCCGGTGAAAGGCATTCATGGGGTAAGAGCTGACCTCATTACAAAGTTAGGCAGAAATGTGATGATGGATAGAACCACGGGGTTGATGAAGGGACACGTCATACACTGTTGGGTGCAGGAGGCAGGGTCCCTGCAGAGTGCAGAGAGCACATTCCCAAGGCTACCCGAGCAGTTTAATGATGGGGCTATTTGGCATTTCAGTTTGCTAGGGCAGCTGCAACTACATACCAGTGTCATAGTCGTCTGGGCTGCTATAGCAAAAATACCACAGATGGGGGGCTTATAAACAACAGGCACTTACTGTCTCACAGCTCTGGAGGGAGGAAGTCCAAGGTCAAGTTGTCAGCAGGGGTGGTTTCTCCTGAGGCCTCCCTCCTGGGCTCTCTGACGGCTGCCTCCTCCCTGGGCCTTCACATGCCCTTCCCTTTGTGCATGTCTGTGTCCTGATCTCCTCTTAATAAAAGGACACAAGCCATATGGGATTAGGGCCCACCCATATGACTCTTTTAACTTTAATTACCTCTTCAAAGACCCTATCTCCAAAGACAGTCACGTTCTGAGGTCCTAGAGGGTTAGATTTCAGCATAGGGATTTGGGGCCTGTTGGGGGGGAGATGACAATCCCACCCATAATGCCCACTATGGGTGGGGTTAAAAGATTCAAAATGAGATGGTAAAGCTCCTGTCGCCATCAGAGGAAGCCTTCATCACCCTTTGGCCTGGAGAGGCAAAAGGAAAGGGCACTTGGGTGCTGGAACCCAGGGGGAACTGCAGCCACAGGAGAGGGGCACCCAGCAGGACGTGTGCCATTTGGTGGAGGAGTGCAGCCACTCGGGAAACCAAGGCCCGCAGGGCGGGAAGAGGGGAAAGGCCCGACCCTTGGATATTCCAACTGTGTCTCGCTTTGGTCAAACCCATCTGGCAGTCAGAGAACAGCGAAGCCCAGGGATGCAGCTCGTCGATGCCAGGCTCTGAGGCAGGTAGCGGGGCTGGGAAGTACGGCCAGATCGGAGGAGGGGCAGGATATGCATGGGACAGGGGGGCAGAAGCAGCGCAGTGGGGGAGAACGTGTACCTTTCCAAAGGAGGAGTCATGATAGATATTCAAGGATGTAAATGGGCTTTAAAGAGATACTGTTAAACAGAAAATGTTACTCAGCTGCAAAAACATTAGTCATATATTCTGAACTAAACCGCCTACTCATATAACCATTTCAAGGTCCCAGAAGTTCCCAATCTAGGATACTTATTTCCCTAAGTAGAGCAGATAGAAAAACAAATGTGTTTATTAATCGTGTAATGTTGAACACTTACATTCTTATACTACATACTGTAATATATGTTATTTTTGAGTGGTTTAAAGTGCTGGCCTGGCAGGACGGCCCAGGATACAGAGGTCTGATGCCCAAATGATCAGCAGGGGACAAATGTGACCGACTGACAGCTGACCAGCTTGCTCCACCCAGGGTGACACTAGTACGTGGCTCTGAAGTGGAGAAGAAAGAAGTGTCCAGGGTGAGACCTGTGCCCTTCCCAAGGGCAGAGAGGCCCTCAGTGTGGGTCTCCTCATCTTGGAGCCTGAGGCTTCGCGGTCTCCCCCTGCCCCCGGGTGCTGGCGGCAGCCACGGAGGCCGGGGTGGCCTGCCGCTCCAGATTCTGCCCGCCCTGTCCCAGTGAGCCGCTACGGCCATGTCAGCAGCCAGCTGTGTTGTGGGCCTCAGTTTGAATGGGCCGGTCTGGGGTACGTCCGCAGTCCCTTCTGGAATAAACCAGGATTTCCTGGGATGAGGACAGACCAAGAGAAAGAAGGGCGCCTCCAGTGCAGGCGGCTGCATCTTGCCTTAAGCTGTATTGCACTCTCTGTTCCTGTGAAAGAAACACCCCCTGGCTGATGTACCTGTGCGTCAGGAGGGTCTGCAGTTTGGGAGAGCCACGCAGCATCGTGGGCTGGAAGGCGCGCTTCCGAGACGGTAGGACGTGGCTGGAAGGTCGATGCCGGCTGTGCACAAGGCGCTCAGCCAGGGCTGAGGGTGGGGCCTCTGATCCCCTTCATGTGAGCTGCGATTCTCATGGCGGGGTGCTGCGTTCCAAGGACGAGAGCCCCAGGACAGAGTCAGCTGGAATCGGAGTCACCTGTTCTCTCCTAGCCTTGGGAGTCTCACCATGTCATTCGCCGTCCCCTGGGGGTCACAGAGTCTTGTTCAGAGCAACGGGGGTACAGACCCAGGAGAGGTGCAAGGTTCTGGAAGACCATGTGGGATGGGAGACGTATTGTGGCCGTTCTGGGATAGACTCCGCCTCAGGACGGTTCCTGTGGGTCCCTCACTCATCACTGGTCACTGCATAGTTCCAGAAACCAGGTGCATCCCCTGTCTTAGTCCGCTCAAGCTGCCATAGCAAAATACTGTGGCCTGCAAAGCTTCAACTACAAAACTGTATTTTCTCATGGCTCTGGAGGCTGGGAGTCCGAGGTTGAGGTATGAGTGAAGTTGGTGCCTGGTGAGGACCCTCCCCTTGGGCCGCCTTTTCCCTGTGTGCCCACACGGCCTGTCCTTGGTGCCTGCGCCTAGAGAGAGACTGAGAGAGAAGGAGGGGAAAAGAGACACAGTGAGAGATCCCCCTCTGGCATCTCTTCTTATAAGGACTCAAATCCTATCCAGTCAGGGCCCCACCCTATGACTTCATCTAACCTTGGAGGCACCATCTCCAAATACAGCAACTCTAGGGGGTCAAGGCTTTAACATGTGAATTGAGGGGCGGGGGACACAAACATTCAGTCCCTAACATCCCGCACAGTGATATGAATTAGATGACAATTGCTACAAATTCCTATTGATTTTTGTTAATTCAAGAAAACCTTACTGAGCACCTGCTATGTGCCAGATTCTCTGCTAGGCTCTGGGAATAGAAGAAGGAGGAAAAAACTGTTCCTGCCTTTAGTGACTGTGTAAGTGCAAAGGCGACAGCTCCTGGGAGGGACAAAGAAACCGCTCCACGGGGAGCTGCAGAAGTGACGTCCAAGCAGAAACTGAGGCTGAGTAGTACTGAGTACTAAATAGGAAGTAGGACAGATGAGGGGAGAGAGGAGCAAGATATGCAGACGCCCAAGGCAAAGCGGGGTGACCACCAGCCTGGTGCGCCCAGGGCTGTCCCGCTTGCAGCACTGAAAGCCCCATGGCCAGGAAGGCCTCAGTCACTGTGCCCTCTCCGTGGAACTGTAAATAGTGCAGTGTACCTGGCACCTGGAGGAGATGGGGCTGCCGTAGGGTTGGCGAGAGAGAAAGCTGGAAAAGTAGGCAGAAGCCCAAACGGGAACTCAGCCCCACTAAGGAGTTAGCACTTCATCTAAAAGGTAGTTGAGCAATCAGTGAGTGATCTTAACTAGGGGGAGTGACTGGCATTTGGAAAGAGCTCTAGCTGCTGGATAATTAAGACGAGGGACAATACTGAAAGCCATTGAAGCTTCCTAGGGAGAAGACAACAGTAAGAGTGAAATAACGGAGAGGGATGGTGAGAACCAGCGGACTTAGAGTATCTTGAGAAATAGCAGAACTGAAAAAAATATAGATGTGGGAGATGAGAGGCAGGAGAGACTGAGGATAACTCCCAGATTTCTGACTTGGACAACTGGAAAAAGTCTTGGGAATTAATTAGGATGCCTTGGAAATACGTTCCCCACACCAGCCTACCCAAGACTACAACGTGGTTATTCTGCCTCCTGTACAGCCCTTGTTGACTTAAAAACCTCACCAGTTGTGCAGCTGACCCAGATGCCTGGGCATAGCCATCAGACTCACAGGACCTTCAGAATAAAAAGGAGGTTTGAGACAAAAGGCAAGGAGGATAGACGTTGATGACTCTAGTGATAACTTCAAGTGCTCTGTCTTGCTTAGCGTTCACAAGAATCTTGGATAAGCAGGCGGGTATTGTTAGTCCTTCAGAGCTGAGGAGCTGGGGATAAGATGACCATGTCTACAAAGCAGCAGAGCTGAGTAGGACATGTTTGCCTCCAAGGACCTGCCCTTCCCACCGTGCTGCTTGCCGAATGAGCACTAGTTTCTCCCCGATTGGACCTTGGGTCACGTCTAGTGCCGTGCCTTGATTCCTCCAGGAATCCGTCTTCATTCAGTGTTCAAGGATGCAGGCCAAGGGAGCACCACCCCTCCGGGCTCAGGAGGCCAGCGGAAGCCTGCTTCCGGGAGCGAGGACTGCAAGAGATCTTCTTAATCCTTTGAAACTGGTCCCCACACTGACTGTATTTGCAAGAACCCTGAAGCCAGAGGCCCTGTATAAGGAGCTTGGTAAGCATCAGGGCCAGGGAGGCCATGGAGACAGTCGATAGCCAGTGATGGACGGAGGGAGGGCCAGGAGATGAAACTCAGGGGATAGGTGGCTCTGGGAGGAGCGCTGCAGGGAGAAAGGCACCCAAGGTGAGTCCCCAGGGCCCCCTCCCGAGGAGAGGGTGTGCACAGGTGCGCTTGCCCAAACCCTTAGCTCAGAAGACCTGACAGCCAGAGCTGTGTGGCCTCTCCCAGGACACGGATGCCCTGTGGCTGAGGCCTTAAGGAAACCCCCGTGCCAACTCGTCTTCCTTCTTAACCAACCAGGTTTACATTTTGATGTGAATCTTGACGTATCTCCCAAGAAGTCTTAATCCTGTATTCACATAGTGATCTCCATTTTGCTTGTAGTCTTCTACTATTGTTCTCTCTCCATGTATTTTATCCCTCCCAATTCTAGATTGGGAATTCATCAAAGGGATCCCAGTTTCATTCCCTCCATATGTTTTTTTATGCAGTACAGACCATGACTGGAGTTTGGCTGTTGTCACTGGAGTGTCACCAGATTGGAAATGTCCGTTTCCCTGCTGTCTTCTTATTCACTGGCACTGGCAGAGAAAGGACACAAGAGGGCGCTCCTTCCCCTCTTATCTGAGTCCAGGGCACTGCACCTTTTCTGCCCGGTTAGGTCTCTTGAAAATTCAGACATGAATGTTGGGGAAAACATATTTTTTACCACTATTGGGGAAAGGCATCAGGGAATTTGGAATATTTACACTAGACACCCTTAAGGAAATATTTATTCAGTTCAGGCCTTTGATTCCATTTGAATCAAACAAATATTCACAGTTTTTGAAGAACTTAAAATCTAAGAAACATGTATTTTAAAAAGTCACCAACCACCTTACACCCCTTAGGATGCCTATTATCATACACACAAATAACAAGTGTTGGCAAGGATGCAGAGAAATCGGAACCTTCGTGCATTGCTGTTGGGAACATAAAATGGCAGCTGCTATGGAAAATAGTTCAGCAGTTCCTCAAAAAATTAAACACAGAGTTACCATATGATCCAGCAATTCCACTTCTGAATATATAACCCAAAAGACCTGTCAGCAGGTCCTCACAGAGATACCTGTCCACCCATGTTCGTAGCAGTATTCTTTACAAAGCCGAACGGTGGCAGTGACCCAGGTGTCCATGAACAGATGGTAAACAAAATGTGGTCGATACACAGTGAAAAAGGACACCTTGAAAAAGAAGGAATTTCTGTCACAGGCTACAATGTGGACGAGCCATGAGGTCATTGTGCTAAACGAAATAAGCCAGTCACAAAAAGATGAATACTACAGGATTCCACTACCTAAAATAGCCAAATTCAAAGAGACAGAAAGTAGAGCAGAGCCTGCCAGGGGCTGTGGAGAAGAGAAACGGGGAGTTAGTGTTCAGTGATGGCAGATGGGTGGGGGCGGTGGTTGCACCGGTGAATGTAGTTAATGCCATTGAATTGTATACTTAGAAATGGTTAAAATCATAAATGTTATGTTATGTGTATTTCAGCACAATAAAGAAAAAATACATGAGGGGAAAAAACAACCGAAGTATACAGTTATCAGTCCCAAAGGGAGGCTACTACTGGGGATGGAGCAGTTCATTCTACCTGGGAGGAGAGGTTAGGGAGGTGGTGACCTGGGTCCTGAAGGATGCGTAGTGGATAAAGCAAGATAATCTCTTAGGGTCTTCTTGATGCCGTAAGTTAGAGTCGTGCTACAAGGATCTGACACCACACACTTTGCCCAGGCTTATTCTGGAATATTCTTTTTTTCTACATTTTGTCTCTTTCCCATATTTTAGGCTCTCTGGCCCCTTCTCTGACTTTATCATAATCCAGATTTTTTAATAGTACTTGATAGATTACAATGCCCTTTCTCCTACACTGTTAACACATTGGAACTTTTAAACAATCTCATGAGACAAACATGAAAGATACTCCTATCACCAATTTATAGATGAAGATTCCAAAATTTAGAGATGCTAATGGACCTTGCCAAGATGA